ATATCATACTGAGAATTTTCTGTGCTTAACATGGTAGAAAAAAACTTAACGCTTTGAGTCTAAGATTTTAGTTCCAATTTTGGCTGCAGTCCTTACTTGAAAATAGGGAAGAAAAAGATGGTTGTATTTAGACCTGGAAAAGACCTTAGAGATATTTTTGCTCAAGCTGCTCATTTTACAAATGAAAAAACTGTAGCCCCTCAAGAGGGGATGACAGCATCACAGAAACCCCAATTCCAACCTTCTCTTCTTTCCCCAGCATCCTTGGGTACTTTGCATAATCCCTTCCTTAACTGTTCTGAGGGCTGACAGCAATGACTCCCCCAGGCTGCTTCCCATGCCTCTCCTTCATTTGTTTTTTCCTTCTTCCCTAATTTCACGTTGTTTTTGTTGTTGTTGTTTGTCCTTCATTCTCAAAGAGGACCATGATGTCAGGGAGGTGATGCCATGACAGGCAAGTGAATCGGATTTAAGTGAGGGAGGGCTGTGCAAAGTCACCAGCCTCACTTTGTCCTCCGGAGCCATCTGGGTGCAGTGGCCAGATATAGATCAAGATAACTAGAGATGGCCCAGGATGCAGTGAGGAACCTTGGCCTTTTCAAGCTAAGGTCTTTAACAGGTCTATTTAACTGAGGCAAGGCCCATTCAGTGATTGAGGCTTAATAAGAAATGAGGCACAGAATGGCATTTTTACCTAGTCCAAAAAAAAAAAAAATCAATCTGGAAGGGGAAGACCCTTAGGATTTCTGGCCAAAACAGAAACAAATGCTATTTACATTCCTTACCCTTACCCTGAATGATTCAGGAAGCACACTCAGAATAATCTTGTGAATCAACTCCAGAGAGACTTAAGAGTCCAACTTAAGGCTGTCTGTGGAGCCTCTAGACCTGGGGTCAATAGAATTCCAAGGGGTACATGAACTCTGATGGGAACAAAATACTTCTTTTTCCCCCCCAAAATAATTGTTTTTTGTTGCAACCCTATATATTTTACTTATTTAAAAACGTTGTTCTGAAAAGGTGTCCATAAGCTTTATCCAACTACCAAAAGTGTCTATGAGACAAATACGTTAAGAACCCCTGCTCCAAACCCATTACAAGTGCTGACGTGGGTGGGAAATATATCTCTGGACGTTGAGGGTGAAAGGACATCAGACTATGAAGTTGCCAAGACCCACCCAATACTTGGAATTGAGTCATGTTTGGAAGCTGTCCTTAAAAAAACAAATTGTACCTAAGAGAAGTTCACCATTTTGTACATAAGCCCTTTTCATGTTCTTTTAGTACATTGGAATGTTTGGGTTTAAAGACGTTTGTCAAGTTCATAATAAAAAAGGAAAAAAGATGTTGCATTGAAATTATGTTTCTCATCCCAGCTCTTGTGTGATGTTAGAGGTACAATAAGGCCTCAGAGAAAGGGGCAGCTAGATGACAAAGCAGACAGAGCCTGGGACCTGGCGTCTGAAGATCTGAGTTCAAATCTGTCCTCAGATGCTTACTAGCTGTGTGACCTGGGGCAAGTCACTTCACCTCTGTTTGCCTCAATTTCCTTATCTGTAAAATGGGATAGCACCTACCTCACATGGGCCTTATGAGGATCAAATGAGATAATCTTTGCAAAAATGTCCTTAGCTGAGTGTCTGATGCATAGTAAGTCCTGTATAAATGTTAGCTGTTGTTAAAGAGTACAGCAATGAGATAGCTTGGTGGATAGAGCACTGGGCTTGAAGTCAGGAAGACATATTTTCCTGAGTTCAAATCAGGCCTCAGAGGCTTATTAGCTGTGTAACCCTGGGCAAGTCACTTACCTCTGTTTGCCTCAGTTTCTTCATCTGCAAAATGAGCTGGAGAAGGAAATGGTCAACTACTCCAGTATCTTTGCCAAGAAAACCACAAACAGGGTCACAAAGAGCTGGACACGACTGAAACAACTGAATAACAAATTATTAGAGGGACTTGAGTTTATCTGTAACACTTCTAAGCCATACTGAAGCTTCTTTCATAGAGTTCATAGTGGAGAGTTGGTTGCTGGGAAAGAGACAGACTGACATCATTTGAGGGTGGCTGAGGAGACATACAGAGATAGATGTCAAAGGGTATTTCACGGGCCAGACCGGCAAAAAAGGATGGAGACCATCTGGTTGAAAAGCAGAACGCTGGTCACTTAGGAAATGGGGACATTGCCATCTGCCAGGAGCTGAAGAAAACTGCCAGCAGATTGACAATTGAGGAGACTTCCAGAACCATAAGAAAAGACCTCAGTTCAGAAGTATTCTGAGAAACCCAACTAAATAGAATACCTGAGCATGATTGGAAATGAAGGTTGTCTGTAGGTGGTATTGTAATTGACCCTGAGCTCTGTGTGACCCTTATTTGACATTCTTCAACCTATAAATAATCTAGTTAATTCCTTGAACCTTATAAAGGGAATTGGTGACAAGAGACAGTGGGTGAATCTCTCAAATTCTGAAAACAATGAGGTTGAGAAGTGAAAAGTCCCCTTAAGTATATCCAGGTCCTTAAGGATGTTTGAGAGTCTCTGATCTAAAACTTATCGAAATTATCATGCTTTATTACTTCTCTGATCTAAAACTTATCGAAATTATCATGCTTTATTACTTTTCCAGGGTTCTCCAACCCGAATCCTTCTCTTCTAGTTCATCTAGTCCGGTGGTATCAAACTCAGATACCATCTATGCTCTATTATATTTTTATTTATTTTGTTAAGTATTAGTTACATTTTAATCTGGTTTGGCAACATTCAGTAGTGCTGTGGACTTGGCATGTGGGTAGAATATTTAACACCTCTGACCTAGTCTATAGAGGTAAGAGATGAAATATTGAGTCCAGTTTGGCTGGAATACAGAGTGTGTGAAATAAGACTGAAGAAGGGTTTGGAGATAGCCGGTTAGTGCAACAGTCAACTTTTTATTAAGTGCCTACTACATGTCTTTTATTAGCAACCTTTTATTAAGTGCCAACTATGTGCCTTTTATTAACAGATAACCTTTTATTAAGTGCCTACTTTGTGCCAGGCACTCTTGGGCCAGACCTTAAATGTCATGCTAAGGAGACTATATCTTATCCTGGAGCTAATAGGGAGCCAAAGAGTAACCCAATAAAACCTGTCCCTTGGTAAAATTATTTTGGCAACTGTGTGGAGAGTTTGGAAAAAGGGGAACCTAGAAGCAGGGAGATCAGTTAGGAAGCTCTGGCTGTAGAGTTAAGATGTTATAGGGGGCCTCAACTAAAATGGTGACCATATCAACAGAAAAGGAGATGATGGAAGAGGTGGAATAACAAGTTTGAAACTGATTGGATAATAGAGGAGAGTAGGGCAGAGGGAAGTGTTGAGATGACTTCATGGCTGGCCTTGTACCTTGTATTGATTCATGAATGCCAGCTCAATTGGACTATAAGCTTCCTAAGGGCAGGTACCATTTTTTTTTTTGGTCCAGCACAGGGTGGGTACCTAGCAGATGCTTGCCTTTCTAAGTGAGTTGAAAATTTGTAGACAGCTCACAGTTAATATCCTGCCCCCAAAATCTGAGGGCACAACAATGTAATCTTACATAACCTCCAGCTATGAGTCATATCACATGTTGTTCTAGAAATAAGGTTCATATTTATGGGAGGAATTAGCATCTTTATCACAGACTGCCCCTAGCAAGTATTTTTCTGCTACTGCCTCTATCCCTCCGGGCCCCAGTCTTACAGACTTTGGGTACAGTTACTTTGGAATGGCTTCTTGGGAAGGGAGCCTCAGCTATGTGCTTGAGAATTTAAGCTCGGGATCTGCCTCTGGTCCTCCCTGCATCCTTACTCACTCATCTCCCAAAAATGCTGCCCAGCCCAGAAAGATTTGTGTTCAGGCTCTTTCCACGCTCTGAGACTCTGGGAGCTGGGGGAGCCAGAACAAGATGTGATTCTAAAGTCCTTCACGAGCGAGGCTAAGCAGGGGAGATGGTGGAAGAGGAGGGAGGCCAGTCTGTGCGCTTTGCCAGGCCAGCTCCCTGTGGTTTGGAGGGTGGGCAGGGGTGGCCCCATTCCAGGAACACTAAGCTTCTTTGCACTCACACCAAGTCCCTGCTGGAGGCTCGCTGGTGCGCTCCTTTGGGTACACGGGCTAGCTTCCCTAACAGGAACAAGGTGTGACTGGAGTCAAAGACGTCCCGCTCCTCCCCACTATCTTCCCCTTCCTTGACCTAGTTGTGAAGCGTGGAATTCCAGAAACTCCAACACTTTGGCCTTGTGCAGTCCTTCTTTAACATGCACATCTCCATCGGATGGAAGCACAAAGTATCTAGTTAAACACCTCGGTGTTGGAGGGGCTGGGATCAAGGGGGGCAGAATGGAAAAAGCAGGGGGAGGGGTGCACCGAAGAGTAGGGGGGAGACAACCTTGACCTACAGCTTGTCGTACACGGTTCCCCAAACCCTGTAGAAAGTTACAGAGGTGGAAGCGGGGTCAGTGACCTCCCGATGGAGGCTAGGGTGAAAAACAAGCGCCCCCGCCCCATGGCAGGCCCCCCGCTGCGAGGACTGGGAAGACCTCCCGGAGATGAGGGAGGGGCTTCCTCCTTCTCCCCTGCGCTCCTGTTTCCTTTTAGGGGCATGCAACGCCTCCGCCGAGTGTAACCCGAGAGGGTCGAGGCAAGTCTTTTCCCCTTGTTGGGCCTCAGTTTCCACCTCCATAAAACCCAGGGGGTGGGCTCGGAGAGCCTCCGGGGGTCACTTGCACTTCGGATCTGTGCACTTTGCTTTTCCTTTCCGCCGCCGGACCTTTGCCCCACACTGGGCTCGGGGACCTCGGGCGTCGCGGCCCTGGGGGTCTCGGGACCCCCGGCTAGGCTCTGACCTTGGGCTGGGATGCGGGGCTGCCTGACCCGCACTCCCCCCGGCCCCTCCCCGCCGTGTTTTCCGCGCTGGAGGGGCGGGGCGGGCTCCCGCGCCCCGGCTCCGCCCTCCTCGGCCCCGCCCGGACCGGGGCGGCCGTCCGGGGGGAGGGAGCCGGGACTGGGGAGGGAGCCGGTCGAGGGGACGGCGCGGCATCTGCTCTGGGGCTGGCGGCGCTGAGAGGTGAGTGCGGCGGGCTGGGCAGGTGAGGAGCCCGCGGCCCCTCTGCCCCTTCCCCCTCCCCCAGCTTGTGTGTGTGTGTGTGTGGGGGGGGGTGTCTCTGTGCCCCCTTCTGGGCAGGTGGGGAGGCGGTAGGGCCCTCTGGCCCCCCCTTCTTGCTGGGGTCGGTGGGAGGCTTCTGCCGCTCCCTGCCCAGGTACAGCCTTGCCCCGTGCCCCCCAAGGGCAGGGGGTGGTCGGAGGCTGGGCTCAGATCCCCCTCCCCCCAGTCCTGCGGCCCGAAACCCGGACCTAAGCCGGAACTTCCTTTACAGAAAGGCAGCCAGGGGCCCGGGGGGGCTCGGTTTGCTCCGGCCGGGCCGGGCGGACGCGCTCCTGCGCCCCGGCTCGGCCTGGCTCGGCCCGGGCCGCGCTGGCCAGACCGCGAAGGGCCTGCGCAGGGTTTTTCCACGGGCATCCCAGGCTGGCTGCGCTAAGGTGTTAAAGGATAGACCCTTAAAGGCGCAGCGCCCTTTCAGGCTCCGAAACCTTGCTTTTACTTTCAGTAGTGGTCACAAGCGGAAGCGAAGGAATTAAAGTTACCAGGACCAGCTTCTGAGCCACTTCCGCGGGGTTGGTGGTGGTGGGAGCGGTGCAGAATCTACACCTACGTCTACACTGTGGATGCTGTAGATGAGACCGACCCCCCTCCCTCTGCCCCCCACCTCCAGGCCTTGGAGAAATGAGTGATTGGGGCTGGGGGACAAAGTGAAAGCTATCTGAGCCTAGAACCCACGACCGTTAGCCCTTAACCCCCCGAGCTCACTGGTTGCAGCCACTGGTGTGTTTCAGAACACGCCACGGAGTGAGCAGAAAAGGCCGCCCCACGTCTAGGCGAGATGGCCAGGCAGGTGTGGACTTAGGTCCAGAGGGCTGCCCTCCGCTTTCTTTGGCTCCCATCAGGTAAGGAGTCAAGGTGCTGCTGATAGTTGTGAGCTGGCACCATCCGCCTATTACTTGCTATGGACGCTTTAGGTTTGGGCAACGTTTGGGGTACCCTGTTTGCTTTGTCTTAGCCCACCTTGTATTGCTCCTTGTTTTCCCACCGGGCCCTCCAATTGGAAGGAGAAAAAATTAGATTATTCCTTGGGAGGGGGGATGGTGTAGTTGTCAGTATGGCAGGGAGCCCCCCAGGAGAGTTAGCAATTGGGAACAACTGGGTTTGCTGAAAGGAAGCATTACTTAACACCTGCTAATAGGCTGCCAGCTGCTCAGGTTCAACTGTAAGAGGGGGAAGTATCCGAGGTTAAAGGTTGCTGGGATCTGTGGTTTTGGTTGTTTCCCCCTGGCCTCTTTACCAAGTTTATCTGTAAAGTATCTGGGGGGGAAAAGGACAGCTTGAACATTTGAGCAAGTGTTGATAGCTAGAGGGGAGAAGATAGGTCTCTAAAAAGCTCCATCTTGGCCGTGTGGACAGAGGAGAAATAATTTAGCTGTTCTCTCTCCACCAAGGTAGCACTGGATGCGGGGAGGAAGGGCTAGAGTCTGGGAGACCAGAATTCAAAACCAGCCTCAGACACTTATTACTTGTGTGACCCTGGGCATGTGACTTACCTTCTCTTTGCTCATCAGTAAAGTGGGGATGATAAAAGCACTTATCTCCCAAGGTTGTATTGAGGATCAAAAGACATAAATGAGGCACAGGGCTTGGCACATAGTAAGCCATTTATAAATGTTAGCTGTTGTTATTATTCCCAAGGTCAGGGACTAAGGTAGGTACTTATTAAGTGTTTGTTGAATGAAATTACCCAAAGTTGGGCACAAAGATGCTCAGTGTTGAGGTCTAGAGGTTTAAGGGTGCTGGGACCCCAAAATCAGGACAGGCGGGTCTTGCCCAAATGATTTTGACCCAAGCCTTCTTTCAGCCAAAGATAAGGTTTATTAAAGATCCGCCATATTGGCCAGCCTCTTTAGATATCTGAACATTTGTGAGCTATTGGCTAGGTTTTTAAGGAATTTGATTACCTTAATAGAGGCCAGATGGACCTTATATACAGAAAGACTGTGGAAGGGATCTAGGAAAGATCTTGATGGGAGTGACTGAGAGGTCCAGAATGGGGTCTAGATAGGGTCAAAGATGGGGAGTAGCCAGGGGCCATCGAGAGGTGATAGACAATGGGTGGCTGGGCTAGGATAAGGGTAACAGAATTGGAAGATTGAGCATAGGTGAAAATGAAAGGCCAGTTGATAGGATTATAGCCTCAGGGGCACCTCTGGAGACTTTGTAGATCTGGTAGAAGAATTCAAGGAGAATTTCAAGGAGAATCTCCTAGACAAATGGAACCCAAATTCTTTTTGGGGCAAGGGGCAAAGGTCATCAGGAACTTTGGTACATCTGAAAAACAAAATGGCAGGGCAGGGGAGAAGGAGCCCCAAAGGTGCCCACTGTTGGGCAGGTCAAGTCACCAAGTATTTATCTGGCGCTTAAAAATGAGCTAATCTCTGTTTGAAGGAGATGGGGAAAAAAAGCAAAAAGAAAGAATACCTGCCCTTGAAGAACTTATATTCTAATGGAATATCACAAGTGAGGGGAGAGGGAAAAGGTGGGAGGATGGTGGAGAAAAAGAAATCTGGAAAGTCTGGAGCTCACGAGTGGGGGACCAGAGAGAAAGCAATGTGGGTCATCTTCTGGTTTTGACCCTCATAGTTTGGACTAACCTTAATTTGTATAGTTGAGGTCACTGACACATTTTGCTGTCTTCTATTTAACGAGTATTAAATATCTGACCAAATGTAATCAGCAAAAACTCCAGCCCAGCCAGCCTTGGTCTCAAGGCTTTTTAGGAGATCCCAAGGAGAATAAGATCCTGGCCTCAAGGTGCTTTCCATCTGGTGGGGTGAGGTAGATGGTACGAAAAACAGATAGCCTGTTATAGCAAGTATTGGGGGTATATAAAATGAAGGGGTGACATTAGGTAGCTTCCAGCTCCAAATCTGGTCTTATGACCAATGCTTGGAACTCAGTGAAGCGTTTCTTCATGACCCCAGCTCAGTTTCTCAGTTGAATCCCTATTTTTTCTTAACATTTGTATCATTTATTAAGCTCTTGCTATATCTTGCAGTGTATAGAGCACTGGGACTGGAATCAGGAATACTCATCTTTATAAGTGCAAATCAGGACTCAGACACTTACTAGCTGAGTGACCCTGGGCAAGTTACTTAACCCTTTTTGCCTCAGCTCCTTATATGTAAAACGAGCAGGAGAAGGAAATGGCAAACCACTCCAGTATCTTTGTCAAGAAAAGCCCAAATGGGGTCACAAGGAGTCACCACAACTGAAACAAGAATAAACGCTGTCTTAAAATGGTGGCTAAACTGTTCGGAGGACAAGTGCTATATCTTATGCTTATTTATATTCAGTAAATATTTACTAAATATCTGCTGTGTACAAGTACTACTGTAGTGTTTTGGAATAAACAAGGATAAAATGGCTTCTCTTTCCCCTCCCTACCTTAGGCTGGTAGAGAAGGCAAGTAAGGTACTCCGAGTACAAGAACAAAAATAATGGAGAAAGTCTCAATACCATTGGAGAGACACAAGAAAGAAAAGTACTCTGTGTGTTTGTGGTGGCCTAAGTGTTGGATTAGATGACCCCTGAGGTCATCTAATATAATATATTAATAATACAACCCTAAGGTACAGGGCACACTTGGCAAAATGCCTTATGGATAGCATAGACACTGCTGGGATTCCTTAGCCTGACATTTAAGGTCCTCCACAAACTTACCTCAGTTTACTTTTTCCTGCACTTCTACTCTTCTACGTAAACTTTATACATAAAGACTTCTTGCTGTGCTCAAAACATGCCCTTCCTGCCATCTTGTTTTTCTTCACATTTGGACCTTTTCGCTTGGAATGTTTCCTGCCTGTCCCCACCTACCATAATGAAATGCCCATCCTTTGTGGTCTAGTTCCAATACTACTTCCTCCATGATTCCTTTGATGACTTTCCTCTGGATTCCCATAGGATTTTGTAACTGATGGCACTTAACCATGGACTACTTCATATTATAATTACTTGTGTACTTTACTCCTTTCCCCTATCAAACAGTAAACTCTGTGGGAATATGGTCTTAGTTGTTTTTGAATTGCTTAAGTAGGACCCTGGATAGAATCAGATAGTTAGCTAAGTAATGTAGTAGATAGAAGTCAGGAACTGTGGAGTCAGGAAGACTTGAGTTCAAATCCTACCTCATATATTTCCTAGCTGTGTTACTATGGATAAGTCGTTTAACCTTTTTCTCCCTTAGTTTCCCCATCTGTAAAATGGGAATAATAATAGCACCTCCCTCCCAGGGTATTTGCTAGAGAGGGAGTGGCAAACTACTCCAGTATCTTTGCTAAGAAAACCCCCAAAATAGGGTCATGAGGAAGAGTTTGCCGTGACTGAAATGATTCGGCAACAACAGAACTCAGGGTATTTGTGTGGCTAGACTGAGATTGTATTTGTAAAGAACTTTGCAAGCCTTATAGTACTCACTGTATGAATGCCATCACTAATGGAGATGGTAAAGATAAGTTCTCAATGCAAGCTTATGGAATTGATTAGGATATCCCTGAGGTCACCATTGAGAGTCGCCATATTTGCTCTGTTCTTTGCCTTCTAGGCTTTCAAGTCTTTTGAACCCAAGTCCAGCATGACCCCTTCACAGCTGGATAAACAGGTTTTCTGTTGACCTCTTTCCTACCCCCATTGTCTCGGATGATCAAGAATTCATTTGGTGGCCAAGGAAGAAAGTTCAGGGGAAGTAGTTCTAATCATTGTGGACCCTCAGCTGTATTGTGAAGTAGAGAAAGTTTGTCATTGATCATTGAGCATTTATCAGACACCTGCTGTATGCCAGGCACATGCTGGGAGCTGGAGATACAAAGACAAAAAGCAAACAGCTCCTGACCTCAAAGAGCTTATAGTCTCTTTGATGACTTCCACCACCATAGTGTGAGGCCTTCATTACCTCTAGCCTA